AACTAGTATAGCGTTCGGTTTGTTGTTCGAACCTTAATAGCATGTCAAAATATATACGTCTTTCCAGTACTTGATGGTCAGTGCCAATGTTTAATGCTTCGTTTTCGCTGGGAATTGTAGTGCCTAAATTTATCGATGAAAATGCATTGCTAAGGATTGCAGCTGATCGATTCCGAACAAGAATAAACTAAAAATTTCAGACTTGTTGAAATTGACTAAATGTTTGTCGAAATGGCAGAACGACGCTGATTACTTGCGATCTTTAATTGATTTAACGTTTTAATCTTTCATGCGGAACACGCCAAAAATGCTAACCATTTGCGGGTAGACCACTTCAACTTCAGAGCTTGCTACAATGCAATTCAAATGTAATTTACGCACGAGAATGTGTTAAACACGCATACGTATTTGCTCCTGTTGGTTATAGCACGAAACTTGACGGTAAGGCGAAAATGAAGATGTGGCATACTAGACCAACTAAGTGCAGATTGACAGCGCTACTTTGAAACACCTGTCAATGTGTGACGACCGTTGCGCCCACAAATAAAGAACCCAGTTTTGTTTGGGCAAATGCGTCTTCTGGTAATAGTGGTGGGGATTTATTATCACTTGAGCACTTTGAAGTGGCTTATTGATATCAAGAACGCCAGTAGCATGCGTTTATCGATCGTTTATCGCTGATCGACTGGCCTCTACACGTGACCGCGCGCCTGCTGGACTTATCGATCGCCTCGGCATTGCGCGATGCGCGCATCAGTCACACACGCTAGGGGTGTGGATAATAAAATTTTGTTTTTTTTTCATATTTGAAATCCACACACCACAATTGTTTGTTTGGCAGATAAATGGCTCAACGCCGAAAGGGACTCACATGAGGCCACGCCCACTCAATTGCTGTTTGTGTTTCCTTCCTTAAGTCCAATTTAGACGATATGGATTAAAGTGCAAATTGTCAGCGCTGAACTGAAACACCTTGCGATATCTTCCGTGCATTACGTTGATCCTAACACCCAGGCAAAATAACTCACACGCAAATATGTAGCACTACTTAAAATCCCAAAGTAGGGTAATTCGTGCACCAGGCACTCGTCACCGAGATGCCGGTGCTGTTTACGGACAAGAGTTTGTGGATTAGGTATTAACGTTTTTTCCAAACCAAGCGTTAAAATGGGTGTCTATTTTTGTGTTGAACATCGTTTGCTATGAGAATTGCGTAATAGAAGTTAAAGTTGGCTCTTTTGCAGGTAAGGAATTGGTCAAAAATAGTAACAAATGTGTCCGCGGTTGTTAAGGTCAGTTAACGTCGACGTTCTCTTGATGTAGGCGTTACCGTTGTTAAGTACTTAAAGTGGGTCCATGTGGTTCTTAGAAAATGCACAACAGGGAACGGAGGCTGTGTGAGAACTAGAAAATTACATTGTATTTTAATGGGCGTTAACGAGAATATGTCCTCAAAAACAGGAAGCATCTTTGTGTAAATAATTTAAAAAATGTACGATCTTTCACACGCTCGTGCTAGATGAACAGGTATTCATCCTTAAAACACATTTTGTTGTTGGATAAAAAAATAATTTTGCAAACATGTTGTGCATTCATTATGATTATGTGGCGCAGATCACATGCAACACGACGTCCATGGAAGACGTGCTGAATTCCTCTAGGAGCGCTTTAACGGAGCGTCTGAAAATGCAGAATGGTTATGTGGAATTGCTGCCACAGTGAGCAAATGAAAGTGTCCGGATCCAAAATCCAATGGACCCGGTGCAACGATCACTTGAATAATCACATGTATTTGACCACCATTCAGAAAAATGAAATTGTAAGTGATTTGGCCACGTGATAGGCGCAAATTTGTGGCATTTTTCAGCGAAAGCAGTCTCCCGGTATCATGTTTTCTGCTGTGAGATACGCGAACCAAGCCTACGTAAATGAAATGTCCAAACATCCACGTTAGTGCAACAAGAGCGACGTTTATGATTCTATTATACTAATACATAACACATTCCGAGTAAAGGCAACTTAAATTTTGCAAAAATTCAATCTTAAATGCTAACTACTACTTAATTTGATCACAAGTAGAACAAGATAAATTAACAATTTCTGCCGACTAATCATAGATGAATTGGCCGAATTGACTCATGTGCCACCGAAACGCGTCAGTACCACAGTGCCGGTAAGCTGGTTCATTTGGATTGTCATTTGGAGGTGCAGTTCGTCCGTAGGCCGTTGCGCTGGCACTCGACACACCAGAGAATCGGCCACTCATCCACGCGCGAACGACAACAGTGTAGATGGTGGCTGGTCTCAGACCGTCAATTGCGCAGGATGGAGAGGGTGAGGCTTTGGCAGAACAGCACAAGTGCTCACCTCCCAGGATCTCGGCTTTGTAGTGATCAACACCAGCAGGCGCGTCCGTCGGAGGCTCAATGGAGACATTCAACGACGTCGACGACACCGTTGATACGATGATTTTGGAAGGGACTAAAGTCGAAAGCTTAAAGGTCCGGATTTGATGGCATTTAATTGGTTTAAACTAAATAAATTGAATAATTTCAGTTGGGTTTTAAGATTGCGTGGCATCATTTGATCCAAATATTGCTTGTCTTTTTTAACTAATATATTTGTGTAAGATGAAAATGCTGCGACAAGCAGTAGAGTTGTGGATGGTCATGTAAGAATACTCAAATGCAAATGTTGGTGGACGTAACCAAAATTACTTGAACGTCTTCGATTTAAATCGCCTACGGTAAAAATATAATCTAACGAAATTAAATGGTTAAAAAATGAAATTGATGCGCTGAGCTCCCAGACTCCTTTATGCCATGGCTCTGAGTTATAAAAAAAGGTTGCTTCGATGAGGTATGATAGATATACGAAATATAAAGTTAAAATTTTATAAATATAAAAAAGAAGTGTTTTAATCACACACACACACTGGCAGGGACTTGAATCATTTTTGCTGCATTACAGTTAGTGTTAACGTTGGCAGAACAATTGCTACTCGCCTCAGTCTGTTGTATGTAGTAACCAAACGTGAATCGAAACTCACAATTTGGTATGGTTGTGGTGTAGTCCGGAGTAGATCTTTCGCTGCAGATGTTTACTCCATTTAACACCAGACATGCAATCAAGTATGCTGTGTACGTAGTGCATGGAGTGAGAGCTGTAGCCACACACGTTAGCGACGCGATCTCGCATTCCCCAAACCCGATGTTCGTCGCGTCGACAACTCTGTACTCGTAGAGCCAACGTGGGTCTTCCAATGAAGCAAATTTCCACCGTAAATACGTTGTTCCCTGGTCAAATTGCAACAGTCGACAGGGAGCTATAAAAGGGAATAGATTTCTTCGTAAATAGCTAAAAAGGTATTTAAGCCATCCTCCAGCAGTCGTATAACCTGCCCTAAATGGACTAGGTACTAATCTGTTTTCCACAAATATTGCTGCAAGTATTTGCACAATCCTCTGAGATGATTTAATAGCAACTTACTGAATCTAGTAGTCCTGGTTGGAAATCAAAACAGCCAATAATTGTTTAAGAAATGTCAGCCGATTTTGTTTGTTTTGCTAGTCCAAACTACTAGCTGGGATCGAAATAGTTTATCCATTAATTTGGTGACTTACTAGTGGGTCTCGTCCACCCGTTGCCACTTGATGTGCCTGCAATGTGTCCGTTTATCCAGGCAGTAACGGCAATGGTGTAATTTGTGGCTGCATTGAGCCCGTTTATTACACACGAGTTAGCAGATGAAGCGTCAACTATGCAAGTCAACTCCACATAACCTTCGACTGAGGCTACGTAAGTTTCGACACCTTTGACTTGCACTGGCGATATAATAGAAGTACGTAACGACTCAGACGATTCTGGTGAAACAATAACGCTGAAATTAACTGAAAATTAGAAAAGAAAATCGCCATGTTAGTTGTGAGTGTAGTCGATTGATAGAATGCCTTGACTGTTGCCTTACCTCCCTTTACTGTAATACAGAATTAAAGTAATCAATACAGCTACAGAAATCTATATTTTTAGCCTGCACGCACCGTATGATCGTGTCCACGCTGAGACAGTGACGTTTGTACTGCAAACAAACGGCTCAACGACATCGACGCATGACCTTGCTGTGACTTGGTACTCGGTAGCTGCTAGGAGGTCATCCAGCAGACATTCCAGTTTGTTCGTGGAGAGGATTGTGCAAGATTTGAATTGGTTGCCCCCAACGACAGAAACCTCGTAGAGACCAATACCTGTCGCAACGTTGGGTGCCTTGAATGTAACCACCATGACCGACGGTGTGATGGATGACGGCGTAACGTTAGCCGGTTCTGGTGATAGCACAATCAATCATTAATGTGCGATTCGACTTACATCAGGACGTGGAATCGCAGACGCTTCACAAATCTGCTAATGAGTTTATTTCCTACACAATCAGTAACTATGAAACTGGAAAAAGGAAATGAATCTCCAGGCTACCGTTAATGAAAAAGACTGATTGTGACATGTTAGGGGTGGTAAAAACACCTTATTCACAGCGTCCAAAATAATAGCAAGTATGACGTAATTTGATTGAAAATGATTTGTCTATTTAGGAAGTGGAGACGTTTTTGTTTAAATTATGATTAATGAATTTAACTCCAATTTTAAATTGAAGTGATTTGGCTATATTTTTTAAGCACTCAGTCGAAATCGATTCTCATTCCTCAAGAGAAGGAGTAAGAATGATTTGGTTTGTTACCAACTCTACATTTAACATTACCAATATAAATTGCAGGTAATCTTTGTCTAAATAAAAAACAGATTGATAAAGTAAAACAATTATTTTCTATATATGTTAAAAAGTAATATAGGGGCAAAGTCACGCAAAGACGGCCAACAAACTCACCATGCGGCTTTGTCCAAACCTTCTCGTTACTACAAAATTGGACTGATCCAGACACGGAGCAGGGTGTGATAATATACTCGGTTCCGGAGAAGAGACCAGTGAATTCGCACACAAGTGGGTCCTTTTCAGGATTGAGGCTGCATGGCGCGGGGGCATTTGACCCCTGTATTGAGACGTGGAATTCCTGGGAGCTTGTGGTGTCTTCAAGAGGCATCACGGTCACCTTAATCGACGATGTTGTTGCTGTTGTAGTCATGGAGATGCTACTAACAGCTAAAAGTGAAAACGGTGGACTTATGAATTGGATTACGTCAATGCAAAACTCTTAAATTGTAGTTGTTCCACATAAATGAAACGTTAACACTGCCTTCAATCTCTTTCTGGCATCATGAGCGTGTTGCAATTGAAAACCAACTGCTAGAGGTATAAAATGCTTTAATTCCGACATTTTGGATTGATCCACCAACTTAACTCACGTGCTGACTGAGTACTGACACTGCACGTTTTCGCGTCACTGGGAATGTCACTCAACGCCAGATCCAGCCAGGAGCGAACAGCGATGGTGTACCTCGTGGATGGACGGAGGCCAACAATCTCGCACGCTGGAAAGTGTGTTGCCGGGGATGTGCAGTTCCGGTGTTCCTCGTTTTGTATCGCTGCTACGTAATGATGTATATGTCGGCTTTCACTCAGTGGGTAAATGGTAACGGCTATCGACTGTGCCGATTTTGAATTACAACGCACACGATTAGGAGCTGAAAACACAAACTCAGTGTTTTAGATGGAAGACGATAGTTCTTTTTTTCGCTGCGTTGCAGTTGTATGTAAATAAACCAAACTGTGGGTAAAATAGTTTTTTTAATCTTATTTTATTTTTAACCGTTATAATTCATCATATTTCGCAAAATGACTTTAACAGCTGAGTGACAGAACACATTCCTTAACCGGAGTTAAATGCAATGGATCAACAGAAGCAGGTCTTAAAATTGGCCAAGATCACAACTCAACATAAGATGAGGTATAGGATCGTAAAGAAATTCTATACTACTTACGTCAGATTAAACCCTACATTGCCATTTTTCCAAAAAAAAATCCTGTTGATCCCATTTTACTTTGAACAACAGGCACCAAGTTAACAGCGTCTTCAGCTTGAATTCTAATGTGGATGGCCATTCAAATTAAATTGAAAAAACCCGATCAACGTCGTGCGTGTTTATGACAATTTCTCGCACCTATATTTTTTCTACATTTGGCTAAAGTGCCCCATTTGCATATTAGAATATTTCAAATACAAGCGTGTTTCCACTTACTAATGATTGTTAATGTTTAAAGTTATTCTAATGCTACAAAAACTTACGGAATGGACTCGTGTATGAAGTAGTTGGGTCCGATTTTTCACTGCAAAACGTCTCATTCCCAGATCTGTAACAGGCAACTAAATACACAGTGTAGGGAGTTCCCGAAACAAGACTTGTTGCTATGCAGGTCAATTTGGCAACGTCGCATGTTCCAATCGGCAGCTTGCGCTCCTCCACAACTTTGTACTCGTAGATCCTGCTTGTGCTGCTTAGTTGGTGAAATGTGTATTTTAAAGTAGTTGGTTCGCGTTTTATTAGTTCTAGTGGCAGTGGCACTAAAAACATGTAAACAATAATGACAGCAAACTACCAGAATTGAAGGCATCTAAAAGTGCATAAGTTAAATGCTGCGATTTTGGAAAGACCACAAAGGATAGCAATGGCAAGAAAATAATCACTTATCTGATAGATCGAACTATTTTGCTTATATGTGTGCTTTGGAAGTTCCATATATCGAGTAACGCTGTTAACCAATACAGTTTAGGTGACAGAATGACCAGATGTCTGTAACGGGTAGCGGCATAGTGCGAGCGCTGCTGTGTATGCGCCGAGGGTCGCGCATAGCTGACAAACACGAGGTGAAAAGTGGGCAGTGTGTCGAAGTATGTGACGACGAAATTGACAAACGTCATTTAAAATAATCTTCCGCATAACAAGCGTGTTTTCTTTCGCAGTAGGAAAAAAAGTCTTATAGAAGATGGTATCAGCTAATGGTTTATTGCGTTGTCATTGTGAAAGTACGCAAAGTTTCTGTGGAATGTATAAAATGGACAGCAGCAATTTTCCATGATTTATTCTAGTAACTACAAACGAGAGCATTTTTGTGTAAAAAAACAATGTTAATACGTGAAAAAATACACACTTGATAAAACTGACGTAGCAGACGACTAATGTCAAACTACAATCTATGTGATTCTCCTCTGATAAACATTAGCAAACTTAATTATAGAAAAAAAAGTTCTAAAATAAGGTACAACACCTTAATTGGTCACTTCTTGTCATATTACATTATTTTGATTAAATGATTTGAGAGTATAATGAATATAAGGACAATGGTAATGTCTATCCAACTTTTAGTAATACTCCTTATTAACATACACTTAAAAAATAATGTGAATGCAAATATAAGTCACCTGGAATTATCGAGGAATTTCCAAATGTTTGCGCTGTTGCAGTAAGACCTATAAAGTCACAATTAGTAATTTATGTAATAGCATTGACTTTGAGTAGTAAAAATGCGTGAAACATTTTACAAGTTAAAAAAACAACAAACGTATCAACAGACATTAATTATCCTTAAATGCAACGTATTCATACTTTCAATTTAGAACATTCCTTTTTAAAAACCGCCCTAAAATACGATCGAAACAATGTTTACGTATATTTTATAGATAATACAACTTAAAAATGATATCTGAACCATTTGCATAGTTCAGATATTGCGCTTTGCAACAGAAACTATCTAATTAATGTAGCCTTATCTCTCTAGAGTATTAGGCAGAGCATAAAACTGAAAAAGTGTGTATTACCATTGCTGGAACTTCGTACATGTAAGCAGGCCTGAAAGAAGAATATCAAGGCTACACCATCGACTGCTTTTGACATCCGAATTCGTGCGGACTCTTTTTCAAACGTCAAGGTCAGAAAACTTATAGAATTTTAGTTTGTAAAACAAAATAAAACCTAATTGGAGCATTAAAAAAGCTAAGATGCACTTAAAACGTGCTGTAAAATTTACATATGTAACCTAAAATAACAAAAGGAACATTTAAGTTTTAAATTACTTTGAATTTTACATAATTTACACCCATATTGAAATGTAGGTCATCACCAATTTGTTCAATAAATTGCTGAATATAACCCCACGGTTTTCAAGCATGTACATGCTTATTTCTGACGCCATTCGACACGTCCTATACGAGACGTCTGTTTTTTACAAGTTATAGATAATTTATATTTTCCAAATTTAACCATCTCTACAGGCTTGCATTATATACTGAAGTGCAATTGCAAATTAGATAGTAAACCGTAAAGTTCCAGTCATTATTCATTAACATTATTTAGTATAGATTTAGTTAATCTAACCGAAGATAGCATTATTTTCAAGTAGCTTGAGTTTAGCTCTACCTCACATCCCTCTATGTAAGAGTTTGTTACCCGAGGAGCGAGTGAACGAAGGTGACAGAGAACACGATGGTTTATAAGCGTCATGACAGCCAACTGTGAGTCTTGGTGTGGGGGCGATTAAGCTAACAGCAGGCGTCGGGCAAAAGTAAACAACGAAAATGGGATTAGTCCATGTCACCGTCAGGTCACTACACAGGGTTTGTAGTGGACTGACAGCCGCCTCGATTGAGTGGGCGTGCATGAGAGCCCGAGGGGACCAATGACTCACCCCCCTTTGTCATTGGCCTCTGTCAGCATTCGCCTGTTACGCACGCGTACTCATACGTAAACAGAGCCACTTCGCTGGTGGGACACTAATAAACGGCCGTGTTCACTGTCATCGGGAAGTTACGGGCTGTTAACTAGCAGGTTGTAATGTAGTTCAGTTTTTTCCCGTCTTAAAGCCTTCGGCATTACCACTAACATCCAGAAATGCGTCTTCTGAGTAGTTATTATAGAATTTCTTGGACACAAAATTGACGCAAATGGTATTAGACGCCTGGTTGAAAAACAACAGGGATCTGAGGGTACCAAATACCAGAATCTCCCCATAGATTACGCCGTTTTCTCAATTACTATGTGCGGTTCATTCCACATGCTGCTGAAATCTTGTCTTGTGGAATACCCTAATAGGAAAATGACTGGTACAACAGAACAGGCTTTATTGACCAATCACAAGCCAGAGCCACACATCAGGCGCCTCCCATCCGATTCCGCCACACTGGCCACGCCGCTCATTATATACTGCATCTCATCCATGTCCTTCTCTGGTTGGCTGCCTTCCTTTCCCGCATGC